CGCATTGTTTGTTGAAGAGATTCGACGAATCTGTGATCGTGTGTTGGCTTGATCCCACAGATTCCCACAGTTTCACATGCACAGGAACGTAGCAAAAAATGTCCAAAGTATTCCTGTCTTATGTGAACTTTTTCCAGGACCTGCTAACTACTTTGATGATCCTTATCATGTGTCTCGACTCGTCTTGACTTCTGAGATTCTACATTGTCTTCTACATCGCCATGGGCATCATCAGCTGGGACGTTAGTTGTGCAAATGTTCCTGATGATCTGTTCGACGGTCGACCACGACCTCTCCAAGGTGTAGTCATGGTCTTTATCCTTTGGGGTCTGACTCCTAGTGGTGTCCACGGTGTCTACGGTGTCCACCCTGCTGTGTTTCTACTTCTGGAAGTCCATGCAATCCTCGAGGCTACCATCGTTTCATGAGCCGGCTCTCGTTCCCGCCAAAGCCAGCCCGGCAAAAACTTATGACTGGAGACGTAAGGACAATTGCAAACAGTTTTGTTTTATTTTGTTTTCACAGTTTTGAAGCTAGTACTTCAATGTGCAGCATAGCGAAAGGCTCATCGATTTCCGCCACTGGGCCCTCTTCATCGTGCAGGGGACCTCAAAGGGCCGGCCAGAGAGCTGGACGCGATGAAAATGACGAACGCTAGATGAGCTGCAAAATGAGTCGTTGACTGAGTGGATGTTTGGAGTGCGACTTGGGGTGCATGGGTTTGCTAGGCCACAGTTGCGGGCCTTCATCATGGTGGGTGCGATTTGCTTCACCCCTGTCTTCATAGGACTTCCAGCAGTTCAGCTTGGCATAGCCTTAAACCTATTTGGCACAGAAGGTTCAGAATCAGAAGTGGTTTTTTGCATGCTTTTGCGCAATTTTGCACATTGAATTCAGAAGCGAAAGCAATATAAAACAGCCTGGCAGAACCAGCAAAAGCACCTCTCTGTAACATGATTGGGTGCCTTCTGCAGGAGTGGGCTTGATTCAGGGTGAGACCACTCCAGGGAACAGTCTTCCCGCCGAGATTGGAATTGTCTCTTTCAAAGCAGTCGCCATGCTCTAAGAATTTGTTTGTGTTTCCACGTGTTTCTTATTTGGTTTTGAGCTTTCAGTCAATACAAGCTTTGGTCCAAATGGTATCGATGCAGATGCCTTGCATAGATAGGTAGCATTTGTCACTGGTCACTTGGAAAGCTCGGAAAGTTGAGAGTGCTATATATTGTTATTCCAATGATTAACCATAGATTAACCATAGATTAACCATAGTCCTGAAGCCGCTTCAGCATCCTGAAGCATCTGAACCTGTCGGCCAGCAATGCCTTGGAGTGATTGCAAACCAGCAGATCCCAAGGCGCTGTGCAGGGCTGTTGTGCTGCTGAATAAACGACAGCAGAGTAGATGCACCAAGGCATACCAAGTGGATTCAAGCAGAATATGATGATTATGGCCTTCATAGAGCATTGAGAAAGACTCAAATGGCCCAGTTCTATCAGTCCTTGGCACATCATTTTGGATGGGATGCAACCTCTCGCCAGCTGAATCGAGAGCTTGCGTCCCATTCGGGTCCTCAGGAGGTCTCAAAGAAAGTACAGATCAGATGGCTTGTGGTGATTGGCCACTGAAGATCATGTGTATTGTCTGTTTTGTCTTTTGCAGAAGTTGAGGGTCCCTTTCATCGCGGTTTTAGTTTCCGAATCCGCGCGTGACCCCTTTCATCCCACAATATTAATATTGCATCAATATGCCACAGTTTTCAGCTTCCGCAGAACTGCTTTGTTGGCACTTTGGCATTCCACAGGAAGAATGCGTTTTGGGCATCTTCGAATTGGTGACGAGTTGCCTGGCTTGTTTCTGGATGTCTCAACTGTAGGGCATTGTGGGGCAACGGGACGACTCGCGCCGTGTTCTCCAGCGAAGCTGGGACTCCTGGGACAGGTTCCTACAACGGGGAGAGCGAAGTCAGCAAGACTATTCCAGGAGAGCGACGAACAGGGCGCGTAGGCAGGGCATCGCAGGGCCATGCAGGGCCTAATTTGTTTCTGCACGTTGAAGAACAGGTACATGCTTCACTGACCCTCAACCAAGCAACTTGCAAATGGATCAATGTTCATTTGCGTCTTGATCATTATTGATCATTATTGATCTACAATACTGACAATACTATACAATACTGACATACTTGCTACCATTACTTACCTCACCACTTACTGACATACAACTGACATACAAAACCTAATATGACTGGGTGACTGGGCCAGTTGAGCTGAAGTTCTGCGGCAAAACCTCAGGTACTTTCATGGTGTGCCTGGCCGGCTATGCAATTTCGGCCTCTTTGAAGCTATTGGCCGGGCCCCCTGGGCATGCGTTGTAACATGTAAAAAAACATGTTGTAACAATCAAGCTCGGATATTTCACTTGCGAAAACCATCTGTTTTCCCATGTGGTTTGGTATTTGTTGCTCGCTCTTTGCAACATCTGGGTACATCGCTGCCCCCTATCGTTCCTCTGTATCATCCTCACTTCGAAGGATAAAATGTATCCCAAACTCTTGACAAGGAAATACGAGCGCTCACATGAACCATTGGTTGCTGCATTTGGCTAGCGTATCCTTCCTAGGCCACATGCATCAGCCAATTTGTGTCTATTTGATTCTATTTGTTCGATTTTCACAAAGGTTGGTGCTGATGTGATCGTTTGAGAAATCTCTGTTTAGTAATTATTTAGTTGGATGTAGTTGGCACACTAGTTCAACTTGATGCATTCAAGAGCAAGCTGGCAGCTGGTACTTTCTCAAGAAGCCGCTTTGCTCATCTATACATCTACAGCGCCCTACAGCCACTTGAATCCATGTTTTCATCAACATTGTGTTTCTTCGAGTCCGTAAGTACAAGAATCCTCACGTCACATATATATATATATATCAGGGAAATCTGCTTCGATTCAGTATGGCCCATACGGTATGGCATGTTCATCATTGTGACCCCGGACTCTAAAATTCCAAAACTGCTATTCCGCTCGGTTTTGAAGCTCGTTCACTACCCTCCCTCCATTTGTGCCCAACAGCTCATCTACCTGAAACCTCTTGGACACCGCGTTCTTCCAAAGCATTCGAGCTGCAGGTCCCACCTAGCTCCAGCAGCTACTACAAGCGTGAGGATGGCAGTCATCACGACACTGATTCATGATGATTTACCCTCTGGTTATGACTAGCATAGCCATGGAAGCCATGGCCCATAGAAATAGATGGTTTACCTATTAAAAATGGTGATTTTCCATGGCTATGTTAGTCATAACCAGATGGTATATGGATTTATATGGATTTATGATGATTTGACAGATTGCGCATCATTCCCACAAGCTATGCCTGGCTTGATATGTGCAGTTGCGCGCAGTAACCACCTTGTTCATCATGTCCATCATGTTTTTCCATTGTTCCCTAGGTTTGCCCTTGCAGAGGCAGAAGCGTTTCAGCAACTCACTTCAGGACAAATCTGGAGCAAATCGCCTGAGGGAGCTCATCAATGAGGACAGTGCCGACCTTCAGCTCGTAAAGGACATTTCATAAGTAATAGTGAATAGTCATGGATAGTGACAAATTACTGCAAGACTGCAAAAGGATGGAAAAAGGCGTTTTGGGCTTTTGGAATATTTTGGAATTGAAAAAAACCTGAAATGAGTTTTTCAGTCTGAGCAAAGTCTGTTTTTAGGTTCTGTTTTCTGTTTTCGAGGAGCAAGCTGAAGAGGCTGAGAAGGGTGAGCGCAGCGATGCGGACACTGAGGTGGACGGGGGGCGAGTGCTATGTGGCCTTATGGCCACGCCAGAATTTACGATGGAAACCATCCAATCCACCAATGCCAATATCCACAAATAGTATCATAATAAGTCCACCAATATACCAACTAATAATAACATGCCATTTTTTGATTTCTGAAAATTGTATGAAATATGATGAAATGATACTGTAGAAGAATACGATATATGATATATGATATGTAGTTGCAAATAAAGCGGAGTTGCTTAAAGCTTTTTTGATTGACTGCTTCAATGCTTATGTCAAGCTTGGTGCACAAGATGCCCTGATTTGGCACGGAAGGCCCAGACAGAGGTTATACCAGAGGAGTGGGCTTTTTCTTCGGTCTTTGCTGAATGAATCTCTTGAAATCCGCTTGATCCATGGGATCCCCCAGGAGGATCCGGAGATGCCGCCCATTTTCACCACACACCTTTGGAAGAGGCTGGGGCCAGGGCTCAGCGGCTGAAGGCTTCGCTGTTCGAATTGGAAACATTGGTCCCTGCCACAGGTCGGCCTTGGCGCTCTTGGTGTACATCAATGGGGTGCCAACTGGCATGATGATTGAATACTGTTTGATGTTGATGGAAATGTGTCCAGAAGCGCTTGAAGTGTGGAAATAGCGGGCTACATGACACTGTGTAGTACGTTGTTTACATCACGGTCGACTGATGTCAAACAACAAATTTCAGATGTTTCAACATGACAGGCCTTGCAGATTTGCCTCCTTCGTTGCGCCTTCTCAGACATGTACAAAGACAATATCCAGTTCTTCCTCTTCACATTGTTCGTCCAGATCACAGAACGTTGGGGAGCTGCTACTATTGCATGTTGTTGCCAGACAGAATATTGTTTAATTTGCTATTTGTAATTATTTGTACGTGTTCAATCATGGTGGATGTGTAAGAAGGACAGCAATCCTCAAGCGTCGCATTCTGTACGCAAGCTATCTACATTGAGCCGTGAATGTGAGCCGTGAAATCGGTCCAATGATGTCCAATGATGTCCAAGCCATGAGTTGGTGAGGGCCCCTTTGTGCCCTTTGTTTGGATGCCTTTGTGACTCCTTTGGCTGCTACCGGTTCTTGTCTCCCTCATACCCCACCCTTGTTCCTCGAAGGAGTTTGGACCAAATTGTCCGTGGGTCCTGCTGCGGAAACACTTCTCCTCTCTTGCTCTTGGTAACACTGTGAGAGTGCTATCTCTCTTTCAACTGCTGCAATTGGCACTTTGTTTGAGTTCCGTCTTGTCTTGCTTCAAAGTGCTCTGAATCCAAGTCGTTTGAAGATGCATTCAAGAGCTGAGGAGTGCAGTTGCAGACTCAACTCAAACACAGGAATGCATGACTTTTGGCCAAGGTCATTCGAATCACCATCAAGGTGGCCTTCACAAGCTTTATGTGCGAGCTGATGTTTGGCTCTTGGAGTTTCCTAAACACCAAAATGAGCTTGGTTGATTACCATGCATGGGTAGGTATAGTACATTATATAGTACATCTTATCAGTATTTCTCGGCAAGGCCTTTCTTGCTGTAGGCCCATGTGCAGATCATAAATTGTCATAAAGAACATCCATGTTTTTACTCCCAGAGATGTGTCAAGATGTAGCATCAGGTAGCTGTAAGGGAGCTGAGTCGATCTTAATGTCTTAATGGTACAAAAGTACAGGTGGAATGTTCCACAAATGAGTGAGTCCCGATATAACAGCATCACCTGGCACTGTCAACTTTCAGAGGACAGCTTTGCAAGCCGGGCTTGTCCATGCATTCATTACACTGAAGCGTGGTCACTTGAATGATCAAAAGTGCCGTTCGGGTCGCAACGGTTCCAAGGCTCACTGTGCCAATTGCCATCACAAATCAGGTGCGTGCGTTGAGCCCTTGATACAGATTGGATGAGATTGGTGCCTTTGTGCTGTGATGGTTTGGTGGTCAAATTGTGTATGCAAAAGCCGATACTGATAGTAACTGACCATCATGGCAACAAGGTGGTGCCCCATAGTTAGCTAAGTTGGTTTATAACTCCCATAACTATGGTTGATGGCAGATATAACTATAGTATTCATGGGCTTTATAAACCAACTAACATCACTGGGGGGCACCATCCTGGCAAGTGATGTCAAGTCTGCACAGTTTGAGTCTGAAGAAATACGCTGGCGCTCCGGATTTCGCAGACCTTGGCGGTTTTCACGTTGCTTGCTGCCCCGACTCTATTCGATTTCCTTGCCGCGGCCTCGAAGTGACGTTTTATTGAACCCTACTGATACGTCCCAAGACGGAACCAGGGACACTAAAACACATGATATGACATGATATGACAGCATGATACAGCATGTATAACATTGTCTAACAAAGATTAAGAAAATAGATGAAAATAGAATCTTCTGGCTGACATGTTTGACCAACAACAACAAGACAATGTGCTGAATATCCTTGATGTTCAAGCGCTGAAGATGCTGAAGGTCATGTACGTGGCTCTTATTGGTCTCCAGTTCATGGAACGCATCTATATTGGCCCCAATGAGGACTGCGGGAGTGTTCTCTTGGCTTTTCATGTGGGTATGGATCAATACCTATTAATACCATTTTTAGTGGGATGAACATCCATTTACCAGCTATTTTGATGTTCACCAGGGGTACAAGGTTTTGACACACTGCAATGTCTCTTCAGTGTTCTGAGTTTTCTGGTTGCATATGTCGCTCCATTTGAAATCCTCCAGGATGTCGTGATGGGGAAGCTGGCCGTTTGGAAACGGACCTTGGTCTTGCTGGCGAATTGCTCGAGTCGATATAGATCGAGGTGTTGCTGATTCAACGAAGCACAAGGATCCAGGTGTGAGATGCAGCTTGACACGCGTCCAAATATGATCAAATATGTCCAAATGCTTGTGCTGCCTCATTGGAGAAACGATAAAGTGAAGAATCGAAGAATGTGGAAGTTTGCCAGGATCGATACATGGCCTCTTTGAACGCAGCCAGACCGAAACGGGCTGATGATGATGATGACAGGACCTCAGGTCGAAGGAGGCATGAGATCATCAGATGTTGATGGCATGATGTAAGGAAAAGTAGCCGAATGATTGGTTCAATTTAAAAGAGTGAACAAATGCATTTCATGTTGAAGTGACGGTATTTCACACAGGTACCACGTCATTTGTTGGAATATTTGTCGTCAAACTTCGGAATTGGGGATTGGATTGTCACTTTTTGAACTTCATAAAGTCCAGGTTGCTTTGAAATCTGGAGGGTGGTTGCAAAGAATTCACCATATCATCAGCTGAGGAGTCAGACGATGACCAGAAGAAGTTTGAGGTGCTCCATTCAGCAACACTGCGACCTCAAAAACCTTGCATTTCCAAATTCAACTTTACAACCCATGAACCCGAATGCACATCACGTAAGACATTCTTCCCTTGTTATTGTACTTTTGTAGACTGTGGACATCTGTGGACTGTGGAGCGTGGAGTGAAGAGCGGGGAGTGTAGAGTGTGGACTGTAAAGTGTAGAGTGTGGAGTGTCAAACGAAGGGGTGCCGAAGGCTGCAAAAAGAAAGCAAAGGTTCAAAAACGTTGAGCGAACACACTTCCAGCCCCAGACCCCCAAGGGTACATGACAACCCTTCACTACGCAGTTGGAGGAAAACAAAAATAGATCGTGGGGAGGTGAGGCACTTTTCTGTTTTCGATGCTATGTTTAAGAACGCATATGCAACCTGGATCCCTCTATCATGTCATTGCTACCCATTAGTGGCCCACCTGAAGTTGTGTCATGTTGGCAAGCCCAAGTTCATGATTGGGCTACTAATAGAGTCTTTGCGTTTATCAGGCTTTTACATCTCAAATCTATTCTAAAATCTCCCGCTAGGATCGGATCAAAACATGAAGAGTTCCTCCCAGTTCCACAGTTCCCCTGTCTTCCATATGTTAACCATATATTAACATATATTAACCATATATTAACCTCACAGTTCCACAGTTCCCTGACCTCACAGTTCCTGCTTGGAACTGTTAATGCGCGAACGACACCTTTGAGGCACCCAAAAAACAAAAACTCTCCCATGAACTGACACACTGCAGTGTGCTTGCTAAGCCGCTAAAACACACAACCTGATATTAGTTGAGATGTTTTAGATTTAGATCATTGGTGCTGATTTTTGATACAGTACTGATCAGTACTGTACCACTTAATACATTATGATACATTGGTATTTAATGAACATTGATGTGCAGTATACTGGCCAGTTTAATACGGAGTGCCCACTCTGTGTTTGAAATGTGCGCCAAATACATCTCCAAACACTGTATGGCAATAGGGCCGCCCAAAACCACACCTTGGCGATACCCATTTGTTCGAAAAGTAACCCCAGACCACAGATAGACCCTTTCCTTCTTTCCTTTCCCTCTTTCCTTTCTTCCTTTCTCTTCCAGAATGAAAGGTGCCAGTTCATGTTCCTTTCTTTTTTCCCAAAAAAAATGAAGAAATAATTACGACCGATTTTTGTGTCCGAAAACGCGGCAGCAATCTGTTGGTTCCAAAAAAAACATGCCAAGACAATTACGATTTGTGAGCCTGAAAAACGCGGTTGCAATCCTTTGTCCCCATAAAGCGCCGAAAGAAAATTCGTTACGTGCAACATGTTTTGAAAATTAAAAATACGTATATACATATTACCAAAAAACAATGCACAAATGTGTATATATATATGATTATTTAAGGGCTGCCGCCCCCCTGCCGCCGACCCCAGGGGTGTTGGCCGACGCGAAATAGCGGCAGTAACCGAACAGAGGCTGAAGACGAGCCCGCAGGCGACACTTGGCGCGACGGGCGAAGCCACTGCGGCCGCAGACTTCGACAGCGAAGGGCCTGCGCGAGCGGCAAGCGGCGTGAACGCCGCGCACGAGGTGCCCCCCGCGTGCGGTCCCCAAACGAACACGGACGCCACATTCTACTACACGTGCCCGTTTTGTGAAGCTACCGTCAGCAGCAGTGTGCGTTCTGGCCAAGTAAATCACCGCAGGCACTGTGGCAACCGTTTTCGGGTCAAAGATGGATGCGTCGCAGGAAAGAAGAGGGTGTATCAGTGCCCGTTTTGCGCGGGCGAAGTGAGCAGCAATGTGATGACTGGGCAAATCAACCATCGCAGCGTGTGCGGCAACCAGTTTTATGTATTTTTATGTAAAGACAGGCAAAGTCAGCGATGCGACGCGAAAACATATGCACACATGCCCGCAGTGCCGAGCGATCGTGTGGTCAGCATGCGCCTCAGGCCGAATCCGCGTGCAGCACACCACACCAGCGGGACGCCCGTGCGCACAGAAGAGCTGGACGAGCCAAGGAAAGAAAGAAGCATAGGCAACCAACGGCTTTCGGACGCCAGCAGAAAATCTGCAGGACAGCGCCCGGCAGATGGCCAAGGGCGCCGAGAAGCATTTAAGGCCAGGCTGCTGCCTAACGTTGCTTTCTGAAGCCAGTAGAAAATCTCAGGGCTACTGCCTCACGTTGCTTTGTGAAGCCAGTAGAAAATCTCAGGGACAGCGCCCGGCAGATGGCCAAGGGCGCCGAGAAGCATTTAAGGCCGGGCTACTGCGCCGGGAAGCATTTAAGGCCAGGCTACTGCCTAACGTTGCTTTCTGAAGCCAGTTGAAAATCTCCAGGACAGCGCCCGGCAGATGGCTAAGGGCGCCGGGAAGCATTTAAGGCCAGGCTACTGCCTCACGTTGCTTTCTGAAGCCTGTAGAAAATTTCAAGGAAAGCGCCCGGCAGATGGCCAAGGGCAACGGGAAGCATTTAAGGCCAGGCTACTGCCTAACGTCGCTTTCTGAAGCCAGTAGCAAAATCGCACGGAAAGCGCCCGGCAGATGGCCAAGGGCGCCGGGAAGCATTTATTTAAGGCCAGGCTACTGTCGGCTACTGTGCTTTCTGAAGCCCGTAGAAAATCGCAGGGAAAGCGCCCGGCAGATGGCCAAGGGCGCCGGGAAGCATTTAAGGCCAGGCTACTGCCTAACGTTGCTTTCTGAAGCCACTAGAAAATCTCAGGGAAAGCGCCCGGCAGATGGCCAAGGGCGCCGGGAAGCATTTAAGGCCAGGCTACTGCCTAACGTTCCTTTCTGAAGCCAGTAGAAAATGTCAGGGACAGCGCACGGCAGATGGCCAAGGGCGCCGGGAAGCATTTAAGGCCAGGCTACTGCCTAACGTTGCTTTCTGAAGCCAATAGAAAATCTCACGGCTACTGCCTCACGTTGCTTTCTGAAGCCAGTAGAAAATTTCAGGGACAGCGCCCGGCAGATGGCCAAGGGCGCCGAGAAGCATTTAAGGCCAGGCTACTGCCCCGGGAAGCATTTAAGGCCAGGCTACTGCCTAACGTTGCTTTCTGAAGCCAGTCGAAAATTTCAGGGCTAAGCCTCATGTTGCTTTCTGAAGCCAGTAGAAAATTTCAGGGACAGCGCCCGGCAGATGGCCAAGGGCGCCGAGAAGCATTTAAGGCCAGAGTACTGCGCCGGGAAGCATTTAAGGCCAGGCTACTGCCTAACGTTGCTTTTTGAAGCCAGTAGAAAATCTCCGGTAGATGGCTAAGGGCGCCGGGAAGCATTTAAGGCCAGGCTACTGCCTGACGTTGCTTTCTGAAGCCAGTCGCAAATGTCAGGGACAGCGCACGGCAGATTGCCAAGGGCGCCGGGAAGCATTTAAGGCCAGGCTACTGCCTAACGTCGCTTTCTCAAGCCTGTAGAAAATCTCAGGGAAAGCGCCCGGCAGATGGCCAAGGGCGCCGGGAAGCATTTAAGGCCAGCCTACTGCCTAACGTTGGTTTCTGAAGCCAGTAGAAAATCGCAGGGAAAGCGCCCGGCAGATGGCCAAGGGCGCCGGGAAGCATTTAAGGCCAAAGCTACGGAAGGCTGCCAAAAGCGCCGGCAAGGGCGCTGCGGAGCGTTTGTACGAAAGCTACTGCCTAACGTTGCTTTCTGAAGCCACTGGAGAAGCTCGAAGGAAGCGCCCGGCAGATGGCGAAAGGCGTGCGCGGAGGAGCCGGAAGGCGGCCAAAAGCGCCGGCAAAGGCGCTGCGGACCGTTTGTAGGCAGGCTACTGCCTAACGTTGCTTTCTGAAGCCAGGAGAGGAGCATCTGCCGGGCCAAGGGCGCTGCGGAGCCTTTGAAGCCAAGCCCGGGCCAAGGCCTAACGTTGCTTTCTGAAGCCAGTAGAAAATCTCAGGGAAAGCGCCCGGCGCCCGGCAGATGGCTAAGGGCGCCGGGAAGCATTTAAGGCCAGGCTACTGCACCGGGAAGCATTTAAGGCCAGGCTACTGCCTAACGTTGCTTTCTGAAGCCAGTTGAAAAAGCGCCCGGCAGATGGCCAAGGGCGCCGGGAAGCATTTAAGGCCAGGCTACTGCCTAACGTTGCTTTCTCAAGCCAATAGAAAATCTCACGGCTACTGCCTCACGTTGCTTTCTGAAGCCAGTAGAAAATCTCCGGGACAGCGCCTGGCAGATGGCCAAGGGCGCCGAGAAGCATTTAAGGCCAGGCTACTGCGCCGGGAAGCATTTAAGGCCAGGCTACTGCCTAACCTTGCTTTCTGAAGCCAGTTGAAAATCTCCAGGACAGCGCCCGGCAGATGGGCGCCGGGAAGCATTGAAAGCCAGGCTACTGCCTCACGTTGCTTTCTGAAGCCTGTAGAAAATTTCAAGGAAAGCGCCCGGCAGATGGCCAAGGGCGCCGGGAAGCATTTAAGGCCAGGCTGCTGCCTACCGGCAGATGGCCAAAGGCGCCGGGAAGCATTAAGGCCAAGCTACGGAAGGCTGCCAAAAGCGCCGGCAAGAGCGCTGCGGAGAGTTTGTACGCAAGCTACTGCCTAACGTTGCTTTCTGAAGCCACTGGAGAAGCTCGAAGGAAGCGCCCGGCAGATGGCGAAAGGCGCGCGGAGGAGCCGGAAGGCGGCCAAAAGCGCCGGCAAAGGCGCTGCGGAGCGTTTGTAGGCAGGCTACTGCCTAACGTTGCTTTCTGAAGCCGGTCGAAAATCTCAGAGCTACTGCCTCACGTTGCTTTCTGAAGCCAGTAGAAAATCTCAGGGACAGCGCCCGGCAGATGGCCAAGGGCGCCGAGAAGCATTTAAGGCCAGGCTACAGCGCCGGAAAAGCATTTAAGGCCAGGCTACTGCCTAACATTTCTTTCTGAAGCCAGTTGAAAATCTCCAGGACAGCGCCCGGCAGATGGCTAAGGGCGCCGGGATACTGCCTAACGTCGCTTTCTGAAGCCAGTAGAAAATCTCAGTGAAAGCGCCCGGCAGATGGCCAAAGGCGCCGGGAAGCATTTAAGGCCAAGCTACGGAAGGCTGCCAAAAGCGCCGGCAAGGGCGCTGCGGAGCGTTTGTAGGCAGGCTACTGCTTAACGTTGCTTTCTGAAGCCAGGAGAGAAGCATCTGCCGGGCCAAGGGCGCTGCAGAGCCTTTGAAGCCAAGCCTGGGCCAAGGCCCGGCACATGCCTATACAAGCAAGTCGCACGAAGCCACTAGAGAATCTCTGGGTGCTCCTCGGACGCGCTCCCCCTGCAGATGGCTGGGGTCGGCGGATATATGTATATATACACAAATACATATATGTATATTGTCAGTATATATGTATTTGTATACGTAGATATGTCTATGTATATATATATATATATATGTGTATTTGCGTTTAAGATGTATGCCTTGTCCTGAAATTTCTACAAAATCAACAAACATGTGGGATATTGCCCATGACCCTTGGAGGGTGAGAATTCCATGAAAGGATATGGGTTTTCCTTCCTCTTTCCTTCCTCCTTCCTTCCTCTTTCTTTGCTCTTCCTTTCGTATTCCTCTCTTATTCCTTGCCTCTCTTCTTTCTTTCGTTTTCCCCAGTTCTTTCTTTCCTGTTCTTCTCTTTTTTCTGTTCCTCTTGTCCGTTCCTCTCTTCCTTTCCTCTTCCTAATACAGATCTGTTCTTCCATCTTCATAAGTACAGAACTACGTAGGCATAGCGATACGGCCCCGAACAACAAAAAAACGGTTGGTTTTTTCAGCAAGGCCAAGACAAGGAATTTTGACGGTGCCTCATTTATTGTACGTGTGTCAATATGTGGTTTATTTCAACATCAACATTGTTTGATATTACTTATATATATATATACATATACATTGATTTATATCAATGTATACATTTGAATAGTGCATATGTATATATATATATATATGTGTGTGTGTTGATTTTGAATATACATATGGAACATATGTATGTATATGAATGGTCTCGGGCTGGCGCGCTACTTCAGTCTTGGAAATTGGATGAAATTGGTTGTTTTCCCCAAATTTGATGTATATCAAACTAATGTGAAACAATGCAAAACAGAACATTCATGGAATATCGATTCCCGCAGGATGCAGACGAGATGGAGCTGGAGGGAGAGACGGAGGACTAAAAAACATCCCCTCTACAGATGTCCAAGGAATGTGCAATCGGAGGTGTCATTTGGATACACAAACAGATGATGACAAGTGTGTTGATTTTCAATGTGCTAGCTCGGAGAATCTCAGCCCACATAATTTGATTGATTTTAATTAATCAACTCTCAAGTGCCAGGATAGTTGTGGAACATAAACGCACATCAAACAATATCAAACAGATGTTCAACCGTCGATATCATGCGTTAGCCAACACGTGAACCTGGAGGAAATGATTTCATTCCTGGCCACCATCTCTGCTGACTCCGTGGCAAATTTGGTCGTTCCTACCTTTTATGTGGCCTGCAGCTAAGCCAGTCGTGGAGCTGGTTCAGTCACTGAATTTGACAGGAATTGACGTCAATACTCTAAGATTCTGTCTTGAAGCTGAGAATGTCGGGTTGACACGTACAAGTCTTTTGGTTCCAATTGCTTGCCCAGTTCTGTATGTGGATGTTCAACGAGTCGAAAATCCTCACCAATTTCAGGACTTCACTGGCCGTGTTGTCTCTTCTGTTTTCCTTGTTGCCATATGCACGCGGAACGAACAACGATTAGACGGGGGCATAGTGACATTGCGAGTGTTGGCAGGATTCCTGAGCACAATGCTAGTTTCTACTTGCATCCACCTCAGATGACTCAGGCGGTGCAAAGTTGGCAATGATGTCTACTGACCACAGAACGCACAGGGAAAACATGGGGACAGGAAGTGTTGTATTGCCAGTATGGCCTGTGGTGAGACTGGAGTTCCAGGCTTTCCGCACTGCCAGCAAGCTTTGCGAGGTTGTTCTATCTTCTGATGTACCCGTTCCAAGTGATTGCGGACCGAATTTGTGTGAACATTGCAGAGTGCTATCATGGCCGCGTCCTAAAATTGTCCAAAGCCTCTACGATCCAACAAGTTTGTCAAAGTTCGGTCCATTTTCTGTCGGCAAATTCCGTTTGTTGAGCATGAGAAGACCGAGGTTGGAAAGTGACAGATTATCTTGAGTACTGCCGGTTCCCCAGAGTGCTCGTTTGACCAATGCGTTAAGCCGGAATGAATTAGAAGCGAGCTTAACAAGGATACAGGACACAGTCTGATTGGATTGTTGCCATTTGAACACTTTGCCAAGGTTCTTATCGGTTCATCATAAGAACCACTGATTGGAAGGCGGGGTTGCAGGGCCAGATCAACTGTTTATGCACTTGTGCATGGTTATTCTGTTCCAACTAGTATCAAATAGTATCAACCAACGTTGTTGATGAGACGACACCCAGTTTTGTTGATCTCAGGGAAGAGACAACATCTTGGATCAGACCCTGTCACCGCATGTGTTCGAGCCCCGAGCAAGCTGTACCATTTGACCCCGCAGAGCAGGAAAGGCACAAGGCAAAGTTGTTGGTCTATGTTTGTCTGATGCAGAGCTGACAATTCACATATGTTTGGACTTCCACACACTGAGGCGGTCAATTGACCAGATGTGCTTCTCAGATCAGTCTTGGCCCAAGTGTTCAGACATGCACTGAGAAGACTCACAACAGGGTTGTCGTTGTGGCAGCACACTGGCAGCGTTCGCAGCCACTTCTGAAGATTTTAGCCACAGCCATCCACAGCCCTAAAACAGGTTCTACTTCGTGAATCTGCTGCAGACCGTGGGCGTTATGTCGCTGATCTTTGGAATGCAGGTCACCTTCGAAGCGCAGTTGGCAGCTCAAAGTCAAGTGGTAGACTGGTAGGCCGAGAGATACAGAGAGAGAAGGGGAGTGCTCGTCAAGCCCTGCACCCAACATGTCACATGTCGATCACATGTCGATCACACTTCAATTCTTGGAAAGCTAAAGAGCTAAGGTGGAACATGTTCGAGGATCCAGCCACACCAGCTGTTCTGGCATATGCTATTTGCCTCTGCAAAGGAGTGCGTCTCAGAGCGGTTTGCCATGATGTTCCATTTGCCCTAGACACTATTTTTACCCTCTGGTAATTTAACATAGCTATTGAAAATGGCCATTTATAGTGGAATTTCCCATTGAAAATGGTGATTTTCCATAGCTATGTTAGTTTACCAGAGGGTAGATGCTCTTTGGGTACAGCTTGCTCTTTGGCGATCGAACAGATGCGGTGACAAGGCACTAGCGCCATGACGGGTGTCTCAGCTGGCTACCTCAAGATTTGGGCTTGGGAGTCCCAGATTGCCAGAGAGATCCGAAGAGATCCAAAGAGATCCGAAGAGTGGATGAATCTGGATTGTTGACCTTCTATCATACAAGCCATACCAATGGCAACCACATAAGTTCAACCAAGTTTGACAGGAACTCTTAGTTCCTCGTTTCATCCTCCTTAGCCGGCAAATGCAGTTGTACTTTCTTTCATCAACAGACTATGCATATGCAATTTGTAGTTTTTCATCCTCAAAGTTGAAAGCCTGCTCAATTTGTTTGATGTAATTCAGGATAGATCGTGAATGATAGATGTTTCACCAGCTGTTGCCACTGCAGAGCAAGAAGTAGCGAGGTGATGGAGGTCGTAATCTGAAAATGATGATGGTAGCAGCGAATATTGGTTCGAGCCTTTCCAGCATCGATACGCAGGTGATTTTGCCATATCTTGCTTACCTGAGGTGGTGCGTTATAAAACGTGGGCCGAGTCTGGATACCAGCAAGTCCGGTGCTTGTCGTGTTTGGTTTGTGACTCTGCTATTGAAAGGTAACGAGGACCAAAGCTGAACATGCACGCACACTGCTGCTGTTGTCCCTTTGTCAATACGTAGAGGCGACAGTGCCTGACATATTTCACGATCCAATGCATTTTGCATCATGTTGCTTGTTGAACATTGGTGAAGGCTTTGGCAAAGAAGATGCAGGCAATGTCAGCAGGTACAGTTGCAGCCTCAAGGAGAGCAGCAACGTAGTGCAATTATCTTGCAGACTGAGAGGTGAGCATTTGATTCCCTTAAGAGACATCTTGAGATATCTTATATGACTTAAGACAGGAATAGAAAGGACAAGTGATCGGTTTGGCGGCCAATAGACTCAATAGGCAGGTCATGACAGGTCACATATCATCATCTCAGCTGTGATTCTCACATCACCGGATTTCAGACGTCTGCCTGAGGCAGATGAGAAGCCTCCGCCGCCTCCAGCAGGTTCTGCACATGATGGCTGGCCTGAGCACAGCCCTGAGTTCATCAGCGCGATCGAGTGTTGATATCAACTCGAGATACTTCAAGCAGAATCAAGCAGAACAAAGTAAATCAGGTTCATTTCGATCATTACTTGCATTCTTGATCATGTTTGGCTAATTTGTTTACCTGAGATGGCTTTAGATGGCTTTAGATGGTTCGACTCTTCACTTGAGGCCGGCGCATTACGACAAGACTGGCATGGAGAGGCAAGGCGTTTCTTGTGGGATGAGAAGATTCCAAGGAATCCATGTGTTATAGTCGTTCAAGGTCGGGTGTGGTTGTTTGAGGACCTATTTTGCCTCACATTGACATATTACAGTTATTCTTGTTGAACAGAATGATCAAAACATATCAAAACCTTTTTGTTGCCTTTGGATACGATTTGAAAGAATCGTCAGGTATAGAGTGGCCTTCTTGGCAGAGAACCAACTCTGGCTGCAAGTCACAACCTCAGTGTAGTGTAAAAAATGTTAAAAATACTGCAACATACTGTTGTAACATGTATATACATAATTATACACATTCATATACATTCACATACATACATACACATTTAAATATATATATACAGTATACACATAGACAGTTCATAGACATATCAAGCACATTATTGGGATGAGAGTTTTATCCCCAGTGTAACATAATGTAGTCATGCAAACTGAATTCATGTGCGAGTGACGTGGGGCAGGGGGAGAGGGGGAGACAGAGCTTCGGCAACTCTGCTTGGAAGGTAGCAGTTTCTGAAATGATGGACAAGAAGACGCTTGAGAGGTGCCCAAAGGAAGTCAACAGAATCTACACTAAAGCTATCTGAAGCTGATGCATATCTCGATGCGTCTCATCCAGAGTTGTATGCAGTCTGGATTCAAAAGAAACAATTTTGGTCAGGCACAGGCAGGACCTCTTGGACGGTCTAGCAGGTATTGTGAACGAGGCCTGGAAGTCCTAGACCAAATCGAATCGAAGTTGACATGTTGACGTGACTGCAGTAGTGTGCTAGGTGGCGCCAAAGGATTATGCGCCCGAGGGCACCGATGCTGTGGAAAAGGAGCATGCACATGCCACGATTCTGTTTTTCTGAGTCTCACCATTCTTCAAGAATGCCGCCGTCTCTGCATTTTGCCATATTTTGCCAGATATTCGCTCTCCATCACTCCTACCCGACTCACCCCCTTCTCGCCCCTTCTCCAGACTTAAAAGAATTGAGGAGATGTTCACCTTCGGTGGCGCTCCACAAATGGACTTGGCGCGCGCTGCGTCAGAGGCTGCACATTTCAGACCGATTTTCTCCAACCAGGTTGAATTAGTTGCTCCATGTTGCTCTGCTTAATGACTGTGAGAGCCGGGGATTTGATATGACTTGATATGTGCACAGACATCATATTGATGAATTGAAGACAGAGAATTGACCGGACTTGAGCTAGTCACGTCCGCTCCACAGGTGCAAAGAGAGACCTACGAGAATTCGGCCCTGAGGCAGCTCATGAGGAGCGGGAAGATGTCACAGAGATGAGACGGGCTGTCAAAGGAACAATCAGTTATGCAAATAGGTCTCTCGACCACACGTTTTGAAAGATGGCAGCTGCACATTTGATCATTTGCTCTTACATGTTAGATTTTGCACAACATCACATAACACGACTAGATTCCAAGTTGAACTCTGAATTCGTGTTCCAACATTGTGTGACAGAGTGTGCACCAGCTGGTCTTCGCAACCCTTCTTCGGTTTGGCTGCAGACAACCATAAATCATAAATCGTAGAAATTTGGGCGTACTTCGGAGTCCATTCTAAGTGAGTTGGAAAGTTTGTTTTGCTTACAAAGGCCTGTGACTCTGATACTTATGGCGTGTTCCACCGAAATGCCAGTTTACAATTCAAAAGCTTGTAAGTGCCTCATTCCAGAGGCATCAGTTTTGCTTCATCCTACTGTGCATGTGCGGTTTGTCCGGAGTCCCCCGGTAATGGTTAGTGCGCCTGAGGGGATGTGCGTATTGCCACTGTGTTTCAGGTTGCTGCCTGAAAGAACTGACATCTCCGTGTCCTTTGTGTTTTGGCATGCTACCAGTAGTTACTTGGTAGTTTTTTACTACATTATATGTTACACACATATCTTCACATATCATAGCAGGTGACATTGCAAGATTTGGCATTTAAGCCTAATACGCCTTTGCATTGTTGTGAAAAAATAGTGCTTCGTGCCTATGAGGTTCGGCATGGTTTCAAGAGTATAGTCTGTGGTCCGGTACCGCAAGCTCACACGAATATCGCAAAATGCACTCACTGCAAGGCAAACAGTCAAGGCCACAAAGTTGCATTGTGTTTGCCCTGGCAAGCACTTAGACTACAAAAAGCTATCATTGTGACAAGATAAGGATGACAAAGTATCAAGCAGCAAGATTCAACATGTTGCCGCAGCGCGCACGCGCAATCATGCGCAATAATTGATAGATTGCTTCCTCGAGAATCACCTTCTCCCTTGTGGATGCGACATGTGTGACTGCGGTGCAATGCGGTGCATAGGTTTGCCCAACTGAAGACCCAAAGCAAGTGTTACAGACGTTCATACGTTTATTATATATATATATATGTAAGATTGAAACTAAATATAGATACAAATGGATATAGGAAGATATATATTATAATACTTTTTATATCATTGTTTATATTATTGATTATATTATTTATTATATTATTATTTTATATTATTGTTTATATTATTGATTATATTATTTATTATATTATTTATTATATTATTATTATTCGTTATATTGTTTATTATATTAGTTATTATATTATTGATTATACTATATTATATATATACGTGATTGGTTATATGCGTAATACGTATGTATATATATATATGTGTCTGTGTGTGTATGTGCCATATGTACAGCCTATAATATGTACAGCCTATTCCATAAATGATTTGCTTGATAAGGGCACTGGAGGGCACTAGAGCAGCAAGTCCAGGATGTGGCGAGAGCGTGCACAGTTCATGCTCTTCCTTCAGCAGGTCTCAGCCATGGTGACAGCCTTGGCATTGCAAGTTCTATTGGTTTGCAAAGGATATCATTCCAGACCTGATTCATGTTTATTCCGAGTTTTTTTCACTTGTGTCATTCCAACGAAGGTAATTTGAACTTCAATGAACTGCATTTATTTCATTGTAATTTTTGCATTTCCTTGTTTCTGACTCGACTTCCACACTTGTGGTCGAGGGCAGAGGAATATTGCAAAACTGGGTGACTTGTTGAAGCTGTTCGTCCAATAGCTTGAAACGAATTTTGTCATAGAAGGGTTGCAATATGTTGCAATCAATACCACTCGCCATGGCCATGAAGCAGCCAATATGTGAAGCAGGAATCACCGTTTGTGCAGTATCACAAAATTAGTTCGTGGCCGTCCAATGTGACATTGGAAAAGGTTTGCACTGAATATGTGAACCAGCTGGGGAAGTCTTGGCAAGAACCTGGGCGAAATAAGGTCAAGCTTGACAACTATCAGCGTCGCGATGCCTGTGAAATCTGCGGTAAGAGCAAAGAAATGTCACCTTTGGTGGTGCTCCCGATCTACACGCTGTTGCCAGAGACTCATCGCACAGTCTTTCTCAATGGTTTGGTTCGGTGTGCACCTAAAAGGAACATCCGAGGATATGGTTTTAATCTCTTGCCTTCGGCACCACCGTGCCTTTCACGGAAGATTTTGCTGATCCTTTGCTTTGCAGAGCGTTAAATGATGTTAAATAATTAACTAAGTTTTGAGAAATCAGATTGAATCACGAACGTCTAACTATGCTGCCGAGGCATTTAGCTTCGCTGTACCGTGAGCAACGGGATATGTCGGGCACCCCCAGGATTTGCTACTGTTTGATGTGGTTGAAGCTGTCAGGCTGCTCATTAAGCTGGCATTGATGCATCAATCAACTGTTGTGAAACACAGAGAGATGCAGTGCACAGAGTCTCGGCCTTTCCTTGGGTGTGAGATGCCTTGAGCTACCAATGCATTTCCTTCGTAAATTGCCTAAGCAGTGAGGATTCTTAAAATGCTTCATTGCGCTGAGGTCTCCTTTGTGGAACACACCGCTTTGGAAGCACTTCTACCAGACCTTCACGCCCACATGTACTCTTTGCGAGGCAACACAGTGACTGCAAGGATTTGCAAGGCCTTTCCATGGAAGTTTTGATGAGTTTTGTCTTTCGGAGGCGTGCGCCCGCTACTACCACAAGCGCAACACCAACATCCCAGTGAATGAGAAGAGGTATCAGCGCTTGCAGGCAGGGTGTTGCTTGAGATTGCCACACTGCATTGGATATCACATTGAATTGGGAATAGGTCAAAACCTTCTATGCCAGGGATGGACATCTAGCCACAGCTATTTTGATGTGAACTACAGGCTAGAGGGTTTTGACCCATACCCATATATTGCTATATATTGCTATACTAGTATATGGTATATATTCATGGAAAGTCTTAAGACTTACCTGTAAGGTTTAGAGTGTCTGTACTTGTAGTTCTTTTTCATCATTGAAGGCAAAGAAGAAGAGTGCATACGAAATGGTGAGGACTGGAAGCGCTCCCTGTTGGTGCCATCACTTTCTGCTTGAGTTCCAGTGATCCAAACCTCGTACCTTCGCTGGATTCCATGAGGAGCAGTGAATACCCTGTGATCACCATGGAGCCAGAAATGAAGCAGGCGCCACTGCAGAATTCAGCGGAATAGTTTCATCGGGCTACATATGTCATATGATGTAACAACACTATAAGTGAGTGAAGATTAATGGAAAATTGTTGATTACCGCAGGGTATTGATATATGTAGAATGTGCCCGGTGGCTCCGTTGCAGCACCTTCACAAAGATCATGACTCGCTAGACATAGACTGCTGAGATCGCTGACATGGGACATTCCGGCCGAAATAGCCAGGTTCTGAATCTGTGGCTCGAGTGGACCAGATGCATTGTTCGAGAAGAGCGACCACAAGACTTTTTGCCTCGCTTCGGTATTGACGGTTTCTGCCTCAGAGCTGATCTGTAGGAAGCTGTTCCTGGACGCCGATTCCAGGAAGTCATGTTTGAGGCCGTACAATGCAGGAGATCCGAAAGGAATTGCTCGACAAGGCGGCTGTTGTGGAGGTAACCATTTGAAATCAGGTTTGCCTTCAGAAGATTATGCTGTTTAAATGCATCTCATATATGAATGCATGCGGGTGGGTATGTATCTATCAGACCGCACTCGAAGAAAACTCAAGTTGCTTGGCATTCGCAGTTGCTGCTGTGTTGCAATGTTCAGAAATGATTTCTCTGTGTGTCAGGCCGGAGACAATGAGCCAAGGACTTAGAAGTTGCATGTTCCTTCACTTTATCGCCAGCATGAAAAGGTTGTTCAAACATTCCAGTTTGAAAAGCGAAGATTCCTGGTTTGCAATAGTTGTGTGATGTGTTTACCCTCTGGTAAACTAACATAACTATGGAAAATCACCATTTTTAATGGGAAAATCCACTATAAATGGCCATTATCAATAGCTATGTTAGTTTACCAGAGGGTATGTGAAGCACCGATTAGGTCTTTGCCTTCCATGTCCGATAAGGACGATGAGGCAATTTTTTAAAGTGACACCCATGGTGCAGAAAAGCCATGCCATGGCGCAGTTGTGTTGTAGAATCGTGTTCCACCTTCCGACTTGCCAGGCAGCAAGAGATGATGATGACATCAAGGCGAGGTCTTAGTTTTTTTCCCAAGTGTAGAAATTGCCTGAGCATCTCGCAGCTTCACTTCCATTGACATGGGAGGGAGTGGCAGGATGGCCAGGTAGTGTATGATGTGTATGGATTGAGACCGTTTTGAGAATGTGAATATAGTTGCAGACTTTCACAAGCTTGCAAGACTTGATGGGGAAAGACTTGGTGGGGAAAGACTTGGCGAACCGGCATTTGATGGGGCAGAAGGTTAGTTAGAGTTCTTTGCAGGATCCATTGCTAATCGATTTGGACGCTGACGACATTCCAGAGAAGGCTCCTCTGAAGGCCATTTCCCACTTCTGGCTTTGTGCACAAAGATGAGCGAATGTAAAATGATGTGAACGGAGTTGAAAGGCGAATGTCAATAATTGGTACATTCGGTTTACCGTGCATCCTTGGATTGCATGTCGAAATAGACCTGGTAATGGTGTTTTGCTTTCGAGTTTTGAAAGCGGTTGGGTTTGGTGATGCAACCTCAATGGGACGTTGCGGAAGCCTTCAGGTGCCCAAGTCCTTGACTTGGTCAGAAGCCTCCATCATGCGCTCCTGGTTGCATCGTGCCAGAGACAGCCTTCAGGCAGAGCAGACAGTTGTGCACAGAGGAATTGTCACAATGTTCTTCTAGTCAGTGCTGCTTTTGTGTGATCCCCAAGTTTGGGATAGACAAGGACAAAGAAGTATTCCCAAGAATTTGGACAGAGCAAATTAAGCTGCTCTCTTAACTATAACCCATTATAACCGACAATATCCCAATTCTCCTGCATGGCGCAAGGTCTCTGATGCCAGGTCATGGTAGATCTTCTTAGGTCATGGTAGATCCTAAAGTCTCGCTTGCTCGCTGAGGCTCCGCAGTCCACGCATTGGATGTACCCTGCAGAGACTGGGTCGAGATCTCAGTGCCAGTGCTACTGGTGATGGAAACACATAACCACGGGAGATCACTAGCGCTTGGTGCCAGGCAGAAAGCAGTACCCGTTTTTTTGCAGATGGACCAGATGTATTGGATGTCAATTGCAAAGGCCATCATCTTCCTCTTGGCAGGATGTTGAGGAGTCCAGGTCGGGCTTAAGGTATTCGTTTGGGGTCAAAATCATGAAAAGTCATGTCCAGTATGATGCTTTTCAGCATCCAATGCGGCGCATTGCTGTGCTCCAATTTCTGGATAGCGAATCAATCACGAGCTTGTGCTAAAGACATCATCAGTGTACCATATGTACCATGCCAAAATTTGAACAGCTGGCCATTTCCAGTGAATCAAAGTTCGACCTTTTCCAGGCCGGAGCCAGCAAAAGACAGAGTGCGATTCGCCAAGCCAGATGAGGACCTTTACAGCCAATAGAAGTTTGGATGTCGGACTCCGCTTGACATGAGAGAAAGTGATTGGAGCTTTTGCTTGAATATCTTGCATCCTTAAAGCTTCGGATTCTCCTTGAAGGACTAGCGACAGCAGCTCGCGCACAGAGTCCTTCCAATCTGGAATTTGCTCAAAAGCATCTTGCCTAAGCCGCAAGAATGGGACGAAGATACACAAAGGGCATCAAGCATCATCAAGCAGGCTTTGTTTCAGCAATTGAGTGTTGTGTCCTTTGTCCCTTGTCGCAATAGACGTCAATGTCTTTTGGCCACGCTTGCGTGTTCCGTTGAGCAGCAGATTGCTTCTTTGGCAAACCAAAGGTTGCCAAAATGGCCAGTAGATCCAGGATGATCCAGGTGAGATTAGATTGCAAGTTGAGATTCAGGCCAGGTCAAACCATTTGCTGGTACCAGTAGATTTGATTTCGCTTGTGGATCAGTTTTTGTTGCTTAGCACCTCGAAAATCTGAGTCGACCTGGTCAAAACCCACCTTTGAGCGAAAGTGGAGATAGTTCATGGGAAATGTTTCTAAAAATTCTGCACAACAGATCAGGTGTTCCATTCATTGAGATCCGAAATGTTTCCCCGTATCTCACGGTTTCATGGACAATTTCCATCATCGCCCAAAAAAATGAGAGAAAAAAAATAGTAATATGTTTTGCAATCACAATAAGATAAATATCCTTATCGAATTCAAAATACAAAACATAGTATCATAAATATAAATAAAATTGATCTTGATCTTTATTTAATATAATTATCATATAATATGAAAATATATAAAAATTATTAATATTATAAATTATTTATTTAATATATTCTATATTTAAATTATTAAATTTGTAGTCCCGATTAAAAAATAATGTTCTTTTTAGAAATCGATAAATTATATAATTAATATTTATTTAATCTTTATTATTCGAATTTTGAATATCGATATAATACAATAATTATCTTGGATTTTTTATAAAAAATAAATATAAATAAAATAATATAATATTTATTTAAAAATATGTAAATTATATAATTTATATAATATAATATAATTATTAATTAAAATCTTAAAATAATATTTTAAAATTAATAATAATATGTTATAGCCCGAACGCTGGTGAAAAATCCCAAAGCTTGAGGTCTAGGGTCCTTTAAATTCTTATTTTTAAATATAGGTAAATTTGCACTTTAACAAATCGAGGGTCCCTTAAATTCTTAAGATATTCTTAGTATTATATTGCAGGTATCTGCATAATTTGGAGCAAGATTAAATAAGGTAACGAGGTGGAATTGCCGATTGTGGCCGGAATTCTGCCTAGCTGTTCTTGGCGCGGGGCCGCCGGCCGCCGCGCAGACATAAGATACTAATCTTCCCAACTACAAAAGGGTCTGAAGCTTGGGGCTTAAATTTTTTAGGGTCTAAATTTAATTGGTTTTTTTATTAGATTAGACCCTGGCCAGCTACCACCCCAGACCCTCAACATGTACATGCTGGAAAATGAAAACTTCACTTTAGACCTTTTGCCTACCTCATAGAAAAATTCATCTTAGACCCTAAAAACCATTGCGTTTGTTTTCGGGAGGATGGATGTAATCGTTATTTGACATATGTTAATTTTACAGGGTTGAAATCAGTCTTGGTGTCACACCTGTGGGTCTATTATGGTTTTCCCTATCTGTTGCTTGTGTGAAAGGTGTGCTTGAAGACAGCAGAATTTCATTTCAGACCCTAATGCAGCATCACTTCATCACAGACCATCACTGCCAAGGATACGTGATATGATGAAACCATATGAAACCATTGTGTTTGTTTTTGGGAGGATGGTTGCAATCGTTATTTGACATATGTTAATTTTCCAGGGTTGAAATCAGCATTGGTGTCCCACCTGTGGGTCTACTATAGTTTTCCCTATCTGTTGCTTGCATGAAAGGTGTGCTTGAAGGCAGCAGGATTTCATTTCAGACCCTGATGTAGCATCACTTCATCACAGACCATGACTGCCAAGGATACGTGATATGATGAAACCATATGAAACCATTGTGATTGTTTTTGGGAAGATGGTTGCAATCGTTGTTTGACATATATTTCGTTCCCAGGATTGAAATCAACCTTGGTGTCACACCTGGGGGTCTATTAGACACTTTTGCATAGGTTTGATTGACCCTGCTGTTGCCTGGGCTGTTGCTGCTGACAACCAGTACCCAAGGGTCTAATCTGAAGTTACCAGTTTCCAGAAACATACAACATCAGCATGTTGATGATCTCTGCTGGATCCCTATGGTAGGTCTGAGATGGTTGGTGCAAAATAGGTTGATTTGCATAGGGAAATTTCAATTAGACCCGGGTAAAAGGGTCTAAATTGAAAATACCTATAGTCCCTAGCTAGTAGTTGAGAGGATAGATAACACCCGTCATGCCCCGGAAAACGCAAAAACGCGCGTGGATCGACGATCTACGCGCGTTTTTGCTTTTTGAGCCCGGTTTCGCTGGGCAGAGCCCGATTCTTAATATTATATTGTAGGCATCTGCATAATTTGGAGCAAGATTAAACAAGGTGACGAGGTGGAATTGCCGATTTTGGCCGGAATTTTGCCTAGCTGTTCCGGCTACGCTGGTTTGTGGCCTTGGTTGCTTGGCGCGGGGGCGCCGGCCGCCGCGCAGACGCAAGATGACACCCGTCATGCCCGGGAAAACGCAAAAACGCGCGTAGATCGACGATCTACGCGCGTTTTTGCTTTTTGAGCCCGGTTTCGCTGGGCAGAGC